CAGTGCTGAAATAGTCATTCTGTTTCTTTGTTTAAAAATAGCAGAGATTAAAACAATAACATCTAGTCACATATGGAAAAGAAAGAGTCCCGTTAAGATCAAGTCAGATGCTTTATTTTTCAAGCTTTAAAAAATTGCACCTGCTAAAATAGAGTGGTGTAGTTCAGGATGCTTTATGTTGCATAAATGTGGCAGGGACTGTTTTTGCCATTAGGGGTGGATTATTGTAACAGTAGTTTCCTGATGACATCATAGCAAATTCCAGCTGCCCAAACACTTATTTTCCAGCAGAGGTTATCTGTAGTGCACTTGCACAAAATTACACTTAAAAAGGCACTCACAGTTCCCTTAGGACTTATAAACCAAGCCTTTGTCAAATCCTCAGTAAACACAGAATTCTTTGTTTTCGTTCTGTGGCAGTGGTAACAGTATGGGCACTACCATGATTTGTGATTCTGGATTAAACAAAAATTACATAATACAGCGCACGAGAAACTGAGGCCTGCAGTGCAAGTTTACTGTAATGAAGGGATAGCACAATGGTTCTGAAATGTGCTTTATAGAGAATTTTCAGGCTGGTGGCATAAAGATAAGGGCGTATGATTACAGTGCTTAGAGTACCTGAAATGACACTCCTCTTGTACAGTGAGGAGTACACTTTTTGAAGGTGTGGGTAGCCACAGAGCAAAAGAAGATGCTGATTGAACAGCTTGCTTAAGGGAATAGAGAAAATGGGACATTATTATCCTCATTCGATTGGTTCTAGGAAAGAAAAACCTAAATAGTAAAAAGAGGGGCCTAGCCAGAAGCAAGGAAAGAGAGAAAACATGAAAGCCCAGGAAAGTGTTTCATCCTTGACATACCAGAGAAGAAAGAGGTGAAAAACAGCTCTCCCTGGCTCCCGTTCTTCAGCCTAAAGGCATACACACTATGAAATAATTTTAGAGGCTCTAAGGATTAAGCAAAGATTTATTTGTTTTCCATTTATTCCAGGAGGGCTTGCTGGCTCATGTGATGACATCAGTGTGATGCGGGCAGAGGTGTTAGAGGCACCAGAAATCTTGCAACGCTAATGTTGGGAGTTTTCGAGCATACCCAGTATGCTGAGCATTCCCTCTGTCTTGGAGACTTTGGCTACGTTTTTATCTTTTTATTTGCCAGAACACTTTTAATATGTAAACATACAGATTTTCCTAGAGTAAATGTGAATTGATTACTGTTGGGGCGGGAGGAAGAGGAGCTTAAACAACAGTAGCCTCGTTTGGACAAGCTCTTTAGCTAGTATTTTGAAGGCTGCAGAAATTACTATGCCTAGTCACAATTCAGAGGGTCTTTCCAGACTTTAATAAAAGCCATAATTAATATAGAGTCAAAGATATCTGGCAATTGCTGTATTTGAAATACATATTAATATATATTTAATGAAGAATACACTATCCTATCATTGACTCTTAGATAAATCTTTGTAGGAGGACAATCAAATCTTGGAGTTTTACCAGTTTGTAGGACCCTAAGAATATTAAATAACTCTTCTCTGCCATTTTCTTTCTAGTAAATTGCAGTGTTCTGCAGGGATTTCTAATAACCTGTTGTTCCATGGATCAATTAATTTTACTAATAATCTTTATTAGCTCTACTGCGTGCATGTTGGAAATGTCATATGGTCATTAACGAAGCTTCACAGCGCACCTGTGTCTTGAATAGCCTATCACTACCATGCTCACTTTTGGGAGGGAGAGTGGCAGCAGTGGGGAAAGCTGGCCGATTAGCTGTTTGTACAGTTCAACATCTTCTGTTTCCCTGCTCTAGCTATTGATTTCTCTTGCACTGACTCATTAACTGCTTATAGTTAGCCACATGCATTAAATCCTGCTAAATAAGATGATGCAAATCCTGCAAACACTAATTCATTGATTTGTTCCGTTCATTCATTCATTCTCCTGTCAATGTTCACATGCAGGACAAAACCAAATTATTATTATTATTATTTTTTGGACCATTCTCCGTCTTTCCTTGCCTTTCCTATCTACTTGCTGGTATTGTGTTGCTTTCCCAGTGGTTTCTTTCAAGGGTTTATGTTACGTGCCTTTGTTTCTTCATCCTTGTTCATCCTATTAAATCTATCCTTGTAATGCTGTTTTGAGGACCGTAATGAAGCTAGGAAAAGCCTGCCAGGCACTGGAAACGGCAGCAATTCGGGGCTAAGAGCATAGGAAACAGCAGAGAAGTGTTGGAAATACGTGGAGTTACTGTAAACCTTCAGCCAGGCGTGTAGCAGTGAGTCTGGATGTTGCTGCCTTCCCACATAAATTCTATGAGTTCCCAATCTTGTTCATTTGCCTTATTATTTCCTTCTCTCTCAGGTAAGGGGTAGACAACACTGTGTGAAATCAGAGCTTTGTTGACTATATAAGCACATATTTTAGAAGTTTTTAAGGTTGGTATCTCCTCACCACCAGCATTCCTGTACTCTTACCTTTTCTGTGTTCCTCATTTTCGGAATGTTATTTAGCTCCGTTTTCAGGAGGAAAATTCTTTCTTCTCTAGAGAAAGTTTTGGAATGATGGGAGCATATTAAAAAGATTTGTTTTGCTTGCTGACAATAACTCTATTTCATCCCAGACGATTTGTAATGAAAATACCCTTCTCCTCACTAATCCAATGTTACAATAATTGCAAGCAGCAGATCAATAGCAGGAAGTATAGAATTGGAAGTGTTACTTCAGATATTAAGCCACAAATTGATCTGCTTGTCAAACCTTAAGTAAGTGCTTTGTCAACACATACCTCAAAGATGGGAGGACGTTCTGAAATGTAATAGCAATGAACTGAAGGAAGGAGGACGATGAGTTGTTTTACGCAAGTGAATTAACTCTTTACAGCCCTAATCTATACCAACTTACTGTAACCTCATTTGTGTTTTGCGCTCTCACATGACATCAGTAATTTCTGACTATCGATCCACTTGGCTTCAAAAACGTACAGTATAATAATGACCCTTGCTTGAATTAGAAAGAAACAACATACTTTGTCTTATGCGTGATCCACCATAACAGTCTGGTATAATTGTTGAAGTGTCCCAGCATTTACATGGCAGCTATTCTAATCCAAGTAAATTGGATTAGAAATCTGTGGAATTCTGGAATTCTTTGGAGAAAGAAATTTCTAATATAAATGAATAGGTTGTATTTTTTTTCTTCCAAAAACTAAGTACTCAGTACTTTCAAGATTGTTTTTACTTCTTAATGGACAGTAATGTAAAAGTTGTCGTCATACCGCTATGGAAGCACTGAGGTTTTAGAAACTGGAAACATCACTGCTCAATGCACTTTATGGTGTTTATTGTATAAGATGTTAGAAGGATTGAAAGCAGTAATCTGTCTCTGAAGAACTTGTTCTTTAAAACATTTTTAAGCATCGAGCTTTGTTATGGTTCAGACATACATAGCACATTTGAGATGGCAGTTTCTTCTGTAGGAATGCTTATCAGACACATTCAGTGACCTGGGAAAAACAGTTTTTGCTTTCTGTGAGTTGTCCTGTGATAAGTGTATGAAATAGCACTTCCGAGTATGAGGTTTAGTTCCTCTCTTTCTACTGCTAGAAGACAGTGAACGGAGAAGTTTGGTGGATTGTTATTTTTTGTTGTTGTTCTTTAAATAAGGGCTGCTATTTTGGGATTTTGGATTTCCCTTGCCAGTGCAGAGATGAAGACTTTTAACTGGACACGAGTAGTCAGCGGAAGCAAGAAGTCCCTTTGGTTTAAACCTCTCTCACCTACTAACCAGTCTGTCGTCTTGAACATAGCTCACTAGTGGAGCAGTGAGCATTTCTTCTGTTTTTCTTAGTAGAAAGTATTCCCACGTTTAACTGTTTATTACTACGAGGAGGAAGGAAGGTGGTAATTCTCAAGTCTCAGCCACTAATGAATCCTTATCAGCCAGTTATGATTATCTTGATTATTTAATTCTTTTCCAGTGCTAAGAATAGGTATTACCTCACAATGGAGACCAGGGGGAAAACTGCAGGTGTTCCTTCAGCTGAGCTTTTCTCTAGTCTAGCCTTTTGTTGATACAGTAATATTTCCAGCTGTGATACTTACTTGCTGCCAAATAGTAGTAAATAGCTGTATAAATCATAGTAATGCTTGTAGCATTCAGGTACAGCTGGTTGCGTTTTATTCTAACTGTACACATATGCTTATTCTCATTTTTCAAAGTTAATTGTTAATATTTCTGTAAAAGGAGTAGAATTGGGCATTGAAGAGCGGACACTTCTGTGAACTGCATTCTTCACTTACAGTGTACATAGTTTTGCTTATATTGCATTTGAATTTCATTTTTTCCAAGACACTTTTTTAGAACTAGACATCATTAGCCACATTCTGATTGAGTTCCCATTGACCCAGAGGACAGTTGGTAACAACGTACGTACGTTTAGTTCAGGGCAGGAAGCGTACACTGCCATCTGTGTTGCCTACAGACAAAGCTCTAAAAGCTAGAGAGAAATGATAATATATCTTGGTGCTGACATTTGCAGCCTGAAGTCTAGCAGAGATTTGCTGTGTGCTGCTTGCCTTCTTCAGAGGGAGCGAGTAGGCAGCAGGCTGACGTGAATGGAAAGTTCATTACCGCTGGAGAAGGTTGAAGGGAGGAATGGGAAAACCGGAGGGAATAGTGTCCAGAGTTTATTGTTCTTGAGCACCTTTGTACAGAACCATAGGTTATGCCTGGCTTTTTATATACCTGGAAGAAATTTTGCTTAAAAAGCCTTAGTGTTTAAGCTGAATAAGATGGGACTAGGATAGCTCTAGAGAGTGGAGAAAGGAAAGAGTACATGTTACGTGATGCATTCCTTTGGGTTCTTTCCAATTAGAGAAATCTACATCTCTCTAGGAACCTGCTAACTTGCAAGAGGAGTAAAACTAAATTTTGCTAAAGGGGAGATAATAAATAGAGGGGAAAAAAAAATCAGACTACTTGTTATGCTTTTATTCAAAGCAAATCAAGATGAACCTGAAGTGGAATTCTGGCAGAATTTCTCGTCCAGCCTCAGCTACAATCCGGGTGACTGATTTGAGTTGGCGAGATAACCTAAATCCCAGTCCACTGATTAAAGATGATGGAGAGCTACTTATGGATGAATACCTTACCCCCAGGAAACTGGTGAGTAGATGTCATACTTTTTAATGAAGTAGAAGAGGCAAACTGGCGCATAAAGAGCCGTATTATCTTAACTTTCCAGCAGCTGTTGTCATGGCTGTAGATTGTTGCACATCTGACAGTTAAAATTCTGCATGAAGTAGCTTCTGTCTTCTGGAAACTTAGCAAATATGCTTGTCCTCCTTCCACCTTGTTTCATATCAAAAATATGCCTGGCACGAATACTACTGCCTTTATTGCCAGCTTCCCTGAATCAGCATGAAGAAAAGTAAAGGTAGCATAATTATAATTTAAAACAGATCTCATTAATGCTGTCTGAAGTAGCTTGAATCTTAGCATCAGAAAAAGGTTTTATATGGACCTTGTACTAGAAATTGAAAATGCAGCTTTAAAAGTGCAATTATTTTCTGGATTAGTGAAATTCTCTGTATTGCTAAGAAGCTGATTAAAGTATTCCAAAAGTGCTATGGGTACTTTCTATATATATGTGCGTGTGTGAAGTTTCAAAACACATTTGAAAGCCGTGTTCCTTTTTGACTAGGGAAAATGATTCTGGTATGTAGCCTGCTGAAAGAGAATAACATGCTGAAATGTCTAGCGAAGGGAAACTTTGTTGGATGTTGTGTTGCATTTCCTGGGGACTAATCAAAGGTGAAATCCTTTGGGACATTTAGAAGCTGAGAAAATATCCTGGCCTATTTCTAGTAGGCAGAGGGAGAGCTAGGAACAGAATTAGTAAGGAGAAGCTACAGCTTGCTGTGTCATGGAGCTGAGAAAGAGTGGTGGGTTCCCAAGTCTGTGCTTTGGATGCTCCTGGAGCACGGGGTGGGGTGTGTCTATAATTCTCCATACATCCACTGCACTAGTGGAAAACTGAAGGGCAAATGTTGCAGCTACTCTCAAACTGCAGGTTTACACAATTTCCTAGCCTTATTCCAATCAATTTTGACCACACGCTATAGATTAGATAGCAAGTTGTTCTCAGAATGACTCTTCCCATAGTAATTGAGCCTTTTTGTGTTTGTGAAATGTTTACATAAAAAATCTCTTTCTGGTGAGTTTATGTTTTAAACTTTCTGGAAAAAAATATTGATCTACGATCCTGTGATCTATTGTACTCAATTTCCTCTGGCTCATGTAAACCATTGACAACTTCTTGTTCTTTGTTAAAATTTGGCGTAGAGTTTGCCCAGTCTAATAGGCCTAGAATGCGCTGTATAAATCCACTGGGAAGCTCTCAGATTAGTCTGTTTTCTTAGGGCATGATCCAAAGCCCACTGGAGAAACCAGAGCAGCTATCCTCAACTTCAGTAAACTCTGAATTAAACCCTTAGCAAGCACTTTAGTTGGAGTGAAATTCTGTTCTTTTTGAATCCATGTTGCTGTTGTATTCCACAGTAAATTGTCAGCAGAAAAGCGTGAGTAATCACTGATACCCTCATCCCATGAAATCACAGTTTGTTATTTTGTCATATTTTAGTTTTTGTACAGACCACAAGTTACATTCTCCCACAAATCTAGAGTTTTTTAATGATTGAAACACACTTCATTATTTTTATGTGCCCTCTTGAATTTAATCAAGTCTTGGCACTTTAAGATTGTATATATTAACATTTGTAAGGAATTCCATTTCAGAGAATCTCTATTAAATGGATGCATACTGTCCTACACGTTTTTCTGGACACAGTTATTTACTAGCCCTGGAACTTGACAGTTGTGTTGGCATAACTGGAATACTCCCTGTTCAGAGGCAAAATTATATGGCATTGTCAAGGAAACGTTAACAATGTTTACAGTTTGTTCTAATAACATATCCAATTTATCTATTCTTTGACCTTTATGTTGCTCAAATCGAAACAGCTGCTTCCATAATTTTACTTCCTCTACTTCAAATGTAAAAATAGACACACTGTTCAAACACTTAATCTGGAACAAATCTTCATGTGCATATTTGTTAAGCAACTGCATGCCATTGATAACTAAATATTTTGAAAGGTTGTTTTGCTTAAATCAATACACTTGCAATATCTTTCTGATTGTCTTTGAGTTGTGAATATTTTAGGAGTTATTGATCATATTTGCTGTAGTGCTCTAAAGAGGAAATTGACTAATGGATTTTTAAAATACATGCTCATTAAAGTTAAATTTATTTTACATTCATATAAGGATGTATCTAGGCCCAATTCTGCAGTGTTGTATAGGCAGATTTGGACACCTTACGGAGATTCCTCAAGAAGGCTTTTTTGCACAGATCTGTACTAAGCTTTACCCCTTGCCCTTGCGGTTGCTGTCTTGCATTAGCTCACGTGGAAGTTGGAGGGGGCTGAAAGGTCCAGTTGTGCAGAATCTGTAAAGACTGAGGGTCTTGCATTGTGGCCCTGAAGGCTGCTCCATGCCTGGACGTTTTACTTGTTTTATCCCTCTTCCATGTTAGTTTTGTGTTGCCTTGTGTGAAATCTCTATATATGTGGGTTTCTTCCTTCATATTTCCTTCACAGATCCTTCCTTCCGTTCTCCATTACTGAAGGCTGCTGTCAAAAGGATATAATTCTTGTGTTGCTTCATTATTCCCAGTTGTTGGGTTGTTTTCTTCCAAATAAAGGAGAATTTGGCCTGAAATGATTTTTTTCTCCTTGCCCCCCCCCTTTTCCCCCCTTTTTTGTCGTCTTGGACCCCATGGCATGCAAGACAGACAATTTATCCAGAAGCGTAGCGTATCCTTGTGCCACTTATATCTTAGGATTGTTCACTACAGCACTTGTGGTCTTCTGGGGCCTCATTTCAGTCTAGTGTTTCCTTTGATATTGTGTGTGATTCCATATCCCAGTCAAGTTAAACACATCTTCTGCAGTTTTTGCTTGCTGGTATCTTTCCTGCTGTGAAACAATGTCATATCCTTTCACGTTTGAATGCTCTTCATCCAAGCGACAGGTTAAAAGCTGTTGTTGCAAAGGTTGGCATTGTTAGCTGCTCTTTTTATTCTTTATATTGGTATCAATATCAATTTTCTATTGTACTGTTTAGTCTTCACCTATATCATTTTCCATCCTGTCCTATTAATATTTCCAGTTGCTTTCTGTACCTCTGCTTGTATTTGTGCTTATGTGTTGTTGTCAGCTGTTACAAGAATACCAGAGTGAGCAAATTCTTCCCCGTTCTTCCTTTGTTCTGAAAACTGGTTATTACTGGGGAGTATGGTGCAAGTAATTCTTAATTTTGTTAGGGCTGTGACACAGATTTCTCATTAAGTATGGAGAAACTGAAATTAAGAGCTCCACCTGACTTGAATCACTTTTGTGTGTGGGTTTTTTTTTTTTTTTTTTATTAACCTCCTTTTTCCCCACCTCCTCCTTGGTTTGCAAAGGAAGGCTCTTCTGACTTCCACAAAAAGCATCCAAACTTCTCAGAATAAACACATTTTACAAGGTCAAATGATCTTCCAGATATTTTCACGTTATTAAAACTAATCAGTTCCATTCCTGAACTTTTGGTGCCATCATGGTTTGTGTATGATCTTTAGAGAAGAAAGGAAGCAATCTTCTTATTTCACTATTTATTGATCTTGCTCCAGTTAATCATGTTTTCTAAACTTAGGAACACGTGTTAGGAAGTGATGTTTAGTTTTGTTGCTCAGAAGGTTAGGGTGTATTTCATATGGTATGCACTCATCCTCATAGGGAGAAGAAAATCCTGGAGGGTCCTGGAACTACAGATTGTATTCTTACTGAACTGACACAATCAATTCCTTTTTTCCTTGGCAGAAAGCTTGCCTCTCAGTTGTAAGCTAAATGGTTTTGAGAAAAAACTGCAGATCAAGCAAACAAGTGCAAAATATTGATAAATTACTATAAGTGGAGTGAGGAGAATGAAGTAACTTAATTTGGATCTGCTGAATACTTCCTTAGAATCATATAATCATTACAAACAAAAATGTGGTTGGAAGGGCCCTCCGGAGGTCTTATAGTTCAGCCTCCTACTTGAAGCACGATTAGTTTCAAAGTTAGAACAAATTGCTCAAGGTTTTGCTTTCTGTAGGTAGTAATAAAACTAGTTCTGTGAATAGGGCAGAAATTATAAAGCTTCATTTAGTTTCAGAAGTTTCCTTTTATATGTACTTATCCTAATGTTATTACCTTTACTGCAGTGAACGCTTATAGTTGTTGTATTAGAGTGTTCGTCCTCGTACTTAGACATCTGAGGTTGTACATTCAGACTGTCACATCAGGAATCTTTATGTACTTGCAAGCACATATGCATGCATGTGTATAAAAACCAGATTTTTATTTGCATATAGTCACAGCTGCTTAGCTAACATAAAATGACAGATTTACAGCCTTGCGTTTTCAGTGACATAACATTGAAACAATGATTGTAACTACTTAGTATGCACATATGGCAAAGAATTGCTAGAAAGGAATAAGAATATTGGTGTATGATATTGTATATCTATGTAAGGGAAGTTAAATCTTAAAATAAATTTAAAGCAAAATTTCGTATGAGAAACGACCACTTCCAACCTGCATGCTAATTCAGAACATAGTTAAAACTGAGCTCTTGTTTCCTCCTGCAGAAATGATATGGGCTACCTCTGGGAGGTGCACCAAACCTCCCATCTAGTTCCAAATGCCCCACCTTCCCTTTGGAGTTCGCAATAGTTAAGAGAGCTCTTAACAACTTGTAGCATCAGACCCTTAACATCAATTAAAATGAGAAGGTGTCAGTATTGTGAGTCCCCAACATGGGTCAGTGGGGACCTTAACTGAAGATGGTAAGACTAGAAAGAGGCCTATCCACGCAGAACAATTTGAATGAGTTAGAGGCGTCAGTGTGAGAGAAAAGTACGTCTTTACTTCAGTATCCATCCCCTCTTAAACTGCAATTATTATCCTCACGTACACTTTTCATATCAGCCAGGAAAATCCCTCTTTATCGCAGACTAAATACCTAGCTAATCTCTTCTCTCTGTGTTGGGAGGAGAGGGTATTTTTATGTATAAGCAGAAG